CCTCGAGCTGGAACACTGTTGGACCCTTTTAATTCGGAAATCGGATGTGCAAAGTGCACAACCCCACTGTACCAAAACTATCGTCGCAACCACAGATTTACTCCCTTTCACGTCCCAGAAATATCGTCAAGAACACTTCTAAAATGACTGCGTATACCAGAATGTGAAGCAGTGAAGTTCTTATTGTTAAAGGTCGTACTGTTGCACGAATTCGCACAAAAAAACATAGTAGCGCCAGCAACCCTGGTGTGTCTGTCTCCCTCTCCTTTCTTCCCGCCCCGCCCCTACTCCTCCCCGTTCCCCCTGCTTCTTCTCTGCCGATTATGTGGGTTATTTGCAAATCACCAACAAAGTGGAAACAAAATGGTACTGCAGTGATGCGGCTTACATTTTCATGTTATTAAGAGGGTGTCCTCGGCTCGTTGTTCGTTGATCAGCTCCACTGCGATTTCTTGACCCATCTAAAAACTGACTGGTACGGCCTTTTTGTCTAGTTTGTTAAGAGACAATTTACGACTTGGGTATATTGTATATTTTTGGATTATTTGCAGCACTTCATTGAGCTGAGCAATATTAAAAAATGCAATACATTTGGTGGCAATGTATTTGTTCTGGAAGAATATGGTAAGCTTTCGTTTTGTTTTTCTTTTTTTTTTTTTCATCGGGTAGCTCTTGCCAAAAAACATTATTCCCATGGAAAGTGACTGTGCGGTGTTTGATTTTTTAACACACCTGGTGTAGCTACCAGAATTGAAGTTGTGACATCAAAATAACTTTTGCCTTTGGGTTAGAGGGAGAGGTTTGTTGAGAAAGTGGATCTCAGATTCTTCGCGTTGTAAATTATTTGATAAATTGGGCCATTAAAACTAAAGGTCTTTATTTTAAACTTGTTTGCTGGCCCAAATTAGACCAGAGAGCATAGACTAGGGAAGTGCAGAACTGAAAAATTTATAATTCATTCATACTGGACTGTGTGAAGAACTGAACGCTCAAAATGTTGCTCTATTTGCTCCCGAGGTAGTTTGAGTCGGAAATTGAATTTCCGAGCACCGCGAGATTTCTAAATTCGTTTTAGCTTGTGACCCCATGCATGAGTAGAATTATTTTTACAATGAAGTGGACTTCCCAGATCAAGAAGTTATTGAACTGGACTGTCCGGAAAAACACAATTTGTTCTTTGGCTTCTGCAGCTGCGTCCAGCAGCACATTTATTGCATTTAAGTTTTAATAGATGCTCAAAAAAAAACTGTGTTGCAGATCGAAAAAAGAATGAACTTGTGCAGAGGCGTTATCTATCACAAAT